GTCCAAGAGGTGAGAAATGCGTGGGTCCGGCGGTGACGCGGCTGGTCCGTCCGGCGAGGGGAGAGCATGCAAGAATACAAGGCCCATCTCCTCGACGTCATTCCGAGCTATGGCGTCGCGAATTCTCGCAACGGAAACCACGTGACAAGCAATCGAAGTGTGAGGGGTCGCGACCGTACATGGGACTAACACTCCGTTCCGATCACGAATGTGAACGGTTCGGTCGTGGAAGTTCACCGGATGATCGGCGCTACGCAACCAAGACATGCCTAGAATCATGTCGAACTTGGTGTCGAGGATGTCAAAAGACACMGGCTCGCACGCAAGTGGCGCAAAGTATACCGGAACGTCGTCGACGCATCGGTCAATTGACTTTTGTGTGCGGCCGTCCGCGAGTGTAACTTGCGTAGGTTGCGTCTTTCTTCGAACGCGCGGGCCAAGACCTGCGCGGGTCATAAAGGCTTGACTCATGAAGTTGCGAGACGCTCCGCAATCAATCAAGGCACTACAGGTTGCCTTCCCGATTTGAATGCGGATATAGAGCAAAGGTGCGTCGGTCTCGGCGTACCTTTGGGTGGCGTGCTCGCGGTCGATCTTCGCAAGATAGGAGCGGAGATCGACAACCGCTACCCCGTCGTCCGTCAACGGAGCTGGTACTGTAGTGTGCAAATAGGAGCGTAACTCTGCCATCAAGGCGTTGCAATGCGGCCTTGGCAAGGTTCCGGTCGAGGGTAGAGGCATCCAAGCGAAGTCCTCTCTCGTGAGCGGGTCAAGCTCCTCAAGTCTTGACCACGCCGTCGAGTCCTCGGAAATCAGTGGCGAACTGACCGGATCACKTGCCGACGGTGTACAGGCTGCGCATACGCTAGCTAAGTGCACGTGGCTTGGCTGGTCTAATGGTGGTACCAACTGGGCGGCATAATCCTCGTACGTAGCACGAGAATCAGCGACTAACGCATGCTCCCCGGTAGTGACATCGATTGGTAGCAAGGCAACCGGTTGCGGCGGAGTGAGGAGAGACGTCGCCCCTCTCCTTGCGTAACTCAGTTTCCCGAGTTTGCTGGACGGGGTACGCGTGCCTTGCCCTTTTCGGGGCATTGTGCGGTCAAATGAGTGACGCCGTTGCACCAAAGGCAGTATCCGTACTTTTGACGAAGGTCATAGACATCCTTTGTTATCTTGTAGGCCGTCCATGGCTGCTGCCCAGTTCCCGTCGATGCCGTCTCTTGTGTCGCCTTGTTCTTCCGAACTCTCTTGGGACGCTTCGGCGGGAGCGCTGCTACAATTCCTCCATCACTCGAGGATGCTGCTGCAGCGTGGAGATCGTCTGTTCCTTCAGAAATTACGGCATTGTTATGTGCCGGACGTTGATAGCCCTGCTTAGCCACATAATGCGGTTGGGATTGTCTCTCGTTAGCGGCCTTGTCGTCCGTTTGGATGACCAGGTTTGCGCGATCCATGATAGCCTGGAACGAGGTATAGTCGTACTCATTACCGAGTGCTGACCGCAATCCTGCGCACGATCGCGAGAAGAACTCGGATCGTTGATTTGGAAAAGTCAAATCGAAGCCTGGCGTGGTCACTATCTTCTGCCACTTGGTTGTCCAGTCTCGAGTTGGCATAYTTCCTTGAGAGCAGGTGTACACCTCGTTCATGGCCGCATTCACGACGCTGCGGACCATGAACCGGGTGAACCATAGCTGCTCGAACTCCTTCCACGTGATGTGCGTGTGAAGTTCGGCGATGGTGCATGTGTGGGTAGCCGCCAGGTGGTTCATCCATGCCTGCGCTCCTCCAATCAGCTGTAGGTATAGCGCCTTCATCATGTAGTCGTCTGGGACAGTGCGGCAGGATGCTTCCGTAAGGAAACGTTGCCACCATGCCAAGGCGTCCGTCTTGTTGTGGTCGTCGAACTTGCTGATGTCGAAGTGTGGCATCTTGTAATTCTTCGTCGCGGCGTCCGGTCTCGTCTGTAGCTTGGTGATGTCCGTCTTGATGGCGGCCACCGTGCTACTGATCGTGGCCGGCCCATTGAAAACACCTATGTCGCCGATGAGCTTGACGACGTGATCGATGTGCCCGTTGAGTTGCTTCGTCTCGTCTGTCGTGCAGCCTGGCGCTGCTGCGGCCTTAGCCTCAATGCTGCTGACGCGTGCGGTGGTGGTGTTCCACAGCTGTTGTTGTTGTTGCTGATGTGTGGCGGTAGTGCGAACAGCTGCTGACAAGGCTGCAGAATCCTTCTGCTGAATCT